CTTAACATAAAGTTTGCCCGTAGTTCCTTTTTGGGGAGACCTTATAAGTTCCTTAATTTCTATTAATATATAGTTGGTTAAACCAAAAAAAGGAACTACAATGGAGACGATAGGCGGAAAGGAGAGATGGGGGTCTTTTGGGGGTTCAGGGGTAGAGATAGAACCACTCTCTAGTGGAGCAAAAGACTTTGATCTCGCTATATACTTTTGTGCGTATAAGGAATTTTCTCTACATGTTCAAGCATAGAAGGGTTTAGGGTTTAAAGGCATCTTGCTCAATTAAGGGGCTTCGGGTTCTCTGGGAACCTCTTGCCATGGGCTTGAGACACACTACAGATCTATACCCTCGCCCCCGCTCAGCAAAACCGAGAGCCTGAAAACACAAAAACAAAAATACATGAAGCTCAAGAGACAATCCAAGAAAACAGAGATTCAAGTCTCAGAGTCCGAATCTAGCATAGGAAACCAGCATGCCTCAATGCACGTCTGCCACCTGACCAGACTTTGGATTTTAGTATACTGTAGGGGCCTTAACAATTAGCATAGGATTTTGGGGCCCATTATATTGTAATCATAATAAGGAACCCCCAAAGTATAGTACAGGTGCTCTTTGAGGCCCCTATACTACGACCCTAAACCCTAAACCCTGCTCTAGGCCCTGCGGGCTTTGCAGCGCCATCCACCCCCTGAAAGCCCTTGGTTTAGGGTTTAGGGGCTTAGGGTTTAGGAATTTAGGGGTTTAGGGGTTCAGGGTTTAGAGCTTACGTAGGCCCAAAGTCTTGCACATGGGGAGTTCTGAAAATCAGGGTCCCTTTTAAGTACGGTCCTTTTTATAAGGGTGCCGCACTATAGTGGGGGCCTAATAGGACCCGCCTAATTTAGAGAACTACCCACATGTGAAATTCAACTCAGCCTAGACTCTCTACTGTTCGAGAACCCTACAGCTCCAGCGCTGTAGCACCGCAGCCCCTAAACTCAACCTCTGGCTTAGTCAGTATATATACATATGGGTAGTTGTCAAAATTATGGTCCCATTTGGGGTACCCTAAATAATAGGTGCCGTATTAAAAAAAGGACCCAAAAAGGGACCATAGTCTTGACAACCACCCGTCTATATTCCGTATAAACCCTGAACCCTAAACCCTTGCAAACCCCTTAGGGGCTGAGTACCCTAGCCCAAAAACGGTTAACCTTTTGAATGGTAGTAGGATTATATAAGCCCCAAAAGGTTCAAGGTTACCTACTCAGCCCCTAAGACCCTAAATCGCCGAAGGAGTATCCTACCTATAGTCTCCATTGTAGTTCAATTTCTGTGATACCTTATATAAGGTTCCTTAATATATAGTTGCTTAAACCGATTGATATAATTAAGCCCCAAAAGGTTAAAGGCTACCTACTCAGCCCCTGAGGCCCTAAACCACCGAAGGGACTGGGAGGATCGCTGAGGCCTTCTTGCTCGGACGCGCTTTGCTTGCGGCGCTGGGCGACTCCTCGACCTGAACCGCCCCAACAATTCAGCTCTCAGAGTCTCAAAGCGGCCATTATCGGAGCTTTCATAGGGGCTTTCATAGGTTCAAAAAAGGCGGCTCCGTGCAGAAGGGTTATATAATTTTTAGGCATTCCATAGTACAGGGGTGATTAAGCTTCTAGCAAGGCTTTACCGCAGGGCCTGAGGGCTGCCAGGGTTGAGGGTTTAGGGTGTAAGGTTCAGGGAGTACAGTAGGGGCTCGCCCAAAAGGTCCGGATCAACTTGCGTCAAGTCACGTCGGGGGGCGTGTCCAGCAGTGCGCCAAGGATGCGGCCTCAGAGCACCGTTTTTGATACTGAGCCTCCCGTCCAGGTACGATGGACATTAGTTAGTTTATGTTGCCATAGCCCAAAGTAGGCCCACCATTACCCTTGGCATCAAATAGCCCAAAAGCATTATATAATATGGTCTTTGGGCCCAAAAGCCTTAAAATATGAGTCCTTTGAGGGTAAGGGTTAGGGTAAAAAGATCTTTCCAACCTACTTCATGACTCAAGACCCTGGGTAGGCATACCGGCGTACTGAACTCCTAGTCTCTTGCAAGTTGAACCCGGGTTGGGTTTTATTGCGATGGCAGGGTTCATCAGGGTTTCGGGTTTTTGGCGCTTAGACTATAGGGTTTAGAGGATCGACTTCTTGGGGTTCAGAGAGAGTGCCAAGTAAAAGCCTTGAAACCTTAGCACGAGCTTTCAGGCAAACCCTCTATTGCTCCCGTGGACTCAAGGTTTGTAACATGCCAAGCCCGATACCAAATGAAGAGAAACTGTGACAAACTGCGGCCGTGTTGTAAAGAATATCAAAACAGGACTTGGTGTAGGCCCAGGCAGTATAGACCCATACCCTCCCCAAAACCCTAAACCTTAAACAGCCCTAAACCCTAAACCCTAAACGACACCCTATAGTCCTCCCTAAACCCTAAACCCTAGTCCTTCCTGAATCCGACAGAGCTTAGACGACGGCTTCCGCGAGAGAGGCGGCGTGGAGACTCGCCGAACATAAGTCGCTCCAAAGGCCTCAGTTTGGATTTATAGACTTTTGGGGTTCAGGGTTTAGGCGGTTAGGCGGTTTAGGGGGTTTAGAGGGTTTAGGGTTTGGGGGGTTTAGGGTTTAGGGTTTAGTGACATTTAGGGGGTTTAGGGCATAGGTTTTGGGCTTATTGGGTTTTGAGCTTAGGTTTAAAAGGCTTTGGGTTTATGCTCTCACAACCCAGACAAGCCAGGCGAGGTCTCATAGGTTTGAGTCGGCGTGACACGGCATAACACAGAGCTGGCAGCACAACCTTGCCAGGGCCACAGCCGGGTTTAGGGTGTGGAGTTATGGGCTTGGGATTAAGGGTTTGGGTTTTGGGGTTTTGGGGAACCACCTTGCATCATGCATGCTTTTCGAGAAGTTCGAGCAGCTGAGTGTTTGCCAGATGCGTTCCCCCAAATAGTATAGTACGGCGCCCTTATATAAAAGGAACCTAAACGGAGCCCTCACTTGTTACTTGCCAAAAAGCCATAAACTCTCAGATTACTACTAAAGTATAAGACCCCAAAACATTAAAGGTTGGGTATTGGGGAAACTAAGATTTTAGAGAACCCTAAACCCTGAACCCTAAAACCCTTTTTTTGAGCAGGTACTGCAATGCACTAAGCCCTGAATCCCTTCAGCCAAGCTCCTGACTCCAGCGCTTATGGCAGAGCACTAAACCCTAAACCCTAAACCCTAAACCCGAAAACCCTAAACCCCTAAACCCCTAAACTAAGATGTAGAGAACTCTTCAGGGACTTCGTTGGGGCCAGGCTTTTCGGGCCGTACAAGGTCGAAGAAGACCAGGAACATCGGAAGCGTAAAACTCCCTAAGCTAAGGTCCCGGGTTTCGGGTTTAAGGGTTTAGGGGTTTAGGGGTTTTAGGGGGTTTAGGGTTTAGGGCTTTAGGGGTTTTAGGGGTTTGGGGTTTAGGGCTCCGGGGCCTTAGATGAACCTGTCCAGCCCGACTCCGGAACGTCGAAGAACGCAGGGCGCTCCAACGCAGGCACGTCGCCGAACCACTCCGCCGGTTACCCAGGTGCAATCCTGGCCAGGCTTGGAGTTAAGGCTAAGGGTTCGGGGCTTCGGTTTGAGAGTTTTTGGATTCCTGGGCAAAGTAAACCCTAAACCCTAATGACTAGCCCAGAGGTTCGGGAGCTAGGGTTTAAGGGTTCACAGGACTCAGGTTTGGGATTTAGGGCCTAGGTGCTGGTGCAAAATAGGCGGCCTTAGTATTATAGGTTGCTTTGAGGCGTAGAAGCCGTGGATACGGAGTTGTTCTAAGCACGTTTTGCGGCACATTATCATATGAGGCAGCTTCGGGGGTTCGAGATTTGGGGTTTGAACTCTGCCGGGTGGACTTCTGGAACACACATGTCCATCTGTTGAGTGTTCTTCGACTGGTCGAACGGCTGTCTTGCATAGTCAAAGAATACGGAACCCGACCTGCTGTGCAACACCAATCAAAGAGTTCGTGACTGATGTTCTTGTTTTTTACACTACTCAGACTGCCCCCACGCAGGAACCTAACAGCGACACGGTTTGTACCCAACTACTGTAAACGGCAAGGGCAAACAAATTCGCAAGACTGGCACAGTATAAATGCCCTGATAATTTGAACATTTTTTTTTTTTNNTATAGTATTTGTATATATATATATATATATATGAGAAAGGAATCCTTCAGGAATGCGAATTGGTAATGAGCCATAGGCTCTCGGGCGTTAGGACCCCATGGGTTGGGGGTCTTCCTCCCCAAGCCGGTCGACACTGCACCCTAAATCCATAGGGTTTAGGGTTTAGGGTTTAGGGTTTAGGGTTTAGGGTTTAGGGGGTAGTTATAATTAGGCGTATAAGTAGGGTGACTAGAATTATAACCCTTGTTAGGGGACATATAACCCCACTTATAACTACCCATGAACCTCCAAGTAAGCCCCTGAGGCCCTCAAGCGTAAGCCGTTAACGAACGCAAACCCCAAGCCATAAACCCGAAACCACTATACACTCGAATCGAAGTAGACCCCTACCTGGGGCACTAATCACCTACAGTTCTATGGGTTCTACCTACGAATTTAGGGGTAATGGCTAAACTGTAGGTAAAGAGAGTTACAGGTAAACCCTGACTCTGTGTGTCCCCACCTCCTCCTCCGCCTCTGGAGGAGCCTGGCCAGGGAGACTCGCCGCGGTTGCCGAAGCAAACATTCGACATGGATAGAAATTTTGACTTTATACCTATAGTCTCCATTGTAGTTCCTTTTTTTGGTTTACCCAACTAGATATCAAGGGACCTAGAAGGTATCAACAAAAAGGAACTACAATGGAGAGTATAGGTAGGACAAGGACTTTCAAGGGGATTTATGGAGCTCTTTACTTTCTTAGCGGGTTCCAGGGAACTGCCGCAAGGCTAGTTTCTTCGGTCTTTAGCATGCAGGGCTTCTAGGGTTTAGGAGGGGAGGAAGTCCGCAAGCCGGGACGCGATACTGTGTCGGTTTAGGGTTTGGGGATTAAGGATGTCTGTATGTTGAGGGGACAGGTTCCGGAGTATCCAGGAGAGCCCTAAGCCCTGAACGGTTCAGGCATGTCCCTTGTTTCGGCTTGGCTCCAGGCTGAAACCTTCAACGCTTACTTGACCGTAAGACCAGAAACCATAAGCCAAACTCACAAACCCCAAACCATCAAGTTTCATCAAGCTTCATCAGACCACTATAACAACTCCTTTAAACCTCAAATGTCCTCATGGATCAGCCCCTATCCCTATAAATTACCCTAAGGGTCCATGTACCTAAATAGTATGTACTTTGGCCTTAAAGTACTGTAGTCCCTATTATAGGTACATTGGGGCCAAAGTATGTGCTATTTGGGTACATGGATCCCTAGGGTTACAAAACCTAAACCCTAAACCCTAACCCTAAACCCTAAACCCTAAACCCTAAACCCTACAACCGTACAACCCAAGCATTTTCAGTCCGGGCCTGCGCCGAGGCCTCGGCGGCAAAGCGCGCCGCCGCGGCCGCGGCCTCCGCACGGTCGTCGCATGCCTCGAAGGCAGGTTGTGTGTGTGTGTTGGGGTTTAGGGCGTTTAGGGTTTAGGGTTGCCTGTGGCTTTGTTAACAGCGTTCTTCGTCTGCCTCCTCATGTGAACCGGAACGGGGTTTCAGTGTGCACAGCGCTTGAGGGCTTGGGCTTTGTGGACTGCCGTGGGCTGCTGTTCTTGCTATTCGTCGTCGTGGTGGTGGTGGTGGTGGTGGTGGTGGTGCTGGTGGTGGCAGTGGCGGTGGCGGTGGTGGTGGCGGGCTGGTGTTGGTGGCGCTGGTGGTGGTGGTGCTGCTGCTGCTGGTGTGAGTTGTGTAGTCATGTAAACAGACGAGTGCTAGCCGTCGTTGCCGTCGGGGAAAAAAGCCTGTCCACATACAAGAACAGACGTGCGACAACGGGCGATTCTCGTCATGTTTCCGGAATACAGTGTAGGTGGTCGTCTTTCAAAGGGTTGTTGTCGCTGCGATGATTAAAGAACTCTTGCAGCCACAGTCTCCGCCGAATACTTGGAAAGCTGTGCTGCTTCAGCTAGCACTACGGTTGATGCGATAAGTCCTGCATTAACCATACAAAAAGAATATACCATAATTCCCACAGTTTAGGATCCTTGAGGTAGTGCAGGATTTGTATTATCAGCCGTAGGACGTCGGCTCTAGCATGTTGACTTCTTTCGCGGCAGGTGGATTTGTTTGCAGATCTCCTGGGCCTGTTTAGGGTTTAGGGTTTAATCATGAAAATGTGGACGATAACCTACCAGATCGACAGTGGAACCACCGGCCACAAAACACATGAGAGACTGACAGCAGATAAAACGCAGAAGCGGTGCTAGTACTAGCGATGTTGGTGCTGGCAGTTGCAGTAGTGTGGTGGCTCTTCCGGAGTTGCGACGAACTTGACATTACTTAACTTAGCCCGCATACACAAACACCACATCCGAATATCTTAAGGTATAAAGTTTGAAAATTTGAACATCACGAAGCCGGAAGAACCGGCCTAAGCAGCTGCATCCATTGTGCTTCCTGCTGAAAACGAAACTACATGCCGCCGACGCGGCCGCTGGCGGATTCGGGGTGGCAGCTGTAGCTGCATCAGTGCCGGTCGAAGGTGCAGGAACCTCCGAAGCTCGCAAGTTCATGGCTACCGCCTGTCATTCCTAAAGATAAAGTGAGCTACTCTCAAAGACGACTAGCACTGCTACTGCTACTACTACTACAAC